ACTTTGACAGAGGAAACTAAAGACTTGCAAAACTAAGCTCTAAGGATTCATGGCAGTTAAAAGTGGTACCAAACTGCATTTATATGAGAACTATGCTTTTGTGGGCATTGCTCCGGCCTCTGGTTTTGTGTTTCAGCATGACCTGATTAGTCTCTCTAATTCTTTCAGGAATCTCATTGGGCCTTCAACTTGATTAAGATTAGGACAATGATCTTTCAGTACCTTATGACTGCAGTTTTGTTCTGAAAATCTAATTCAGGCCATTTTTATGTTGGCTCCCCATGAGTTTCTGGTCTTGCTTCCTTTCTCCAGAAGCATAACATTATTGTAGGAATTCTGCCATTTCATTTCCTTCATCTCCTCATCCACATTTTTATTTTCACCAGGATCTTGTTTCCCTTTCACAATGGACTTTGCCTATCATTTCTTCTACTAAATGTTTTAGAAACAGAAAAATTAAATTGTTTTAGTCATTTTAGTTCTGAGGGGTTTCCTGTTATAATATGGTTTGTGAACCCTAGGACCCAGGTACTACTTGTGCGTGTATTCATCAGTTATACCACATCTAAGACAGTATGTCTGAATACTTGCAGCCAAGTGATGGTGGTCCAGAGAATCAATGACATTTTTCTCCTTTAAAAGAGAAGTTCTGGAAAGAAATAACTAAATAACTTGATAAGGGAATACCAGACTATTTTTCAACTCCATATTTCCTTACATTGCTGTCCCATCTCATCGTCCACTGATTATGATGATGACAATGATGGTAATAACCGCAAGTATCCACACAAGTGAAGCACCTAGAGGACAAAAAGGCACATCGAGGGATAATAGGAATGATAGGGTTTATTTATATTGTAGAATGAACACAGTTTGACATTACTTTAACTGCTATATCTTAATGCTATGGAATCTTTAGCCTTCTCTGCCAAAGAGTGCTGGTGCCTCACTAAACTACAAACCCTAGAATTCGATTGCATTGAGCTGCGGTGGATAAAGTGGTGTCAAACTGCATTCATTCTGCAGTGTAGAACCAACCAAAGAAATGTCGAAGGCTTTCATTGCTGGAATCACTAGGTTCTTGTGGGTTTTTTCGTGCTATAGAGCCATGTTCTAGAGGCATTTCTCCTGACGTTTCGCCGCATCTATGGCAAGCATCCTCAGTGGTAGTGAGGTCACTACCTCTGAGGATGCTTGCCATAGATGCAGGCGAAACGTCAGGAGAAATGCCTCTAGAACATGGCTCTATAGCCCGAAAAAACCCACAAGAACCTAAATACAGAGTAAGTCCAGCACTATCATGAGATAGTCATCTTACATGGCTATTTTGAAGTGCCCTAAAAATGAAAACAAGGGCCAAAATAATTTGGTCAGCTTACAGTTCTTTGCAACTTGATGCAATCAGGAACAATTTTTCTGTGTCGGGCAACACAATGTATTAACTTGGCCCGGATGGTGAGTGATTGGAAGGAAGAAAATAGTTGAGGAGGCAATAAGCAGAAGCAATACAAGAATATTTCTTCTAAGTTCTGTCTCAGCAAGAATGAGAAATATTATCAATTTTGCTATAATAAGTTCCTATTATAAGATGCAACTTTATATATTTTTTCCCCAAAGGATGTATTTGGTTGCACACACTTAGCACTCTTGGGGCAAACTTGGTGTTAGGCACATATTTTCTTAACCCTCATGCACTAGGATTACAAAATCTGCACAAATCCCCTTTGTTTCATATGAGGAACTCTATTGCACAATGTGACTTGTGCACTATTTGTTTTAAATCCCAATGAAAATTATTGTGCAGAATTGAGTGGTAGATCCACCGACATAAGATCCATTAATTCACTTTAGATTTTACCAGTGCTCTTGGTACTGTTCCATTATTTGGGTCAATTCCAAAAGGGGACCTAGATAGAAAAGGATAGTCTATTATGTGGGGGAGGGGGGAGTTGAACACTGTTTCCACGTGTTATTTCCCCTTCCCCCTTTCCTATATCATAAATGAGTGTTGTCTCCACGATGGCAACATGGGTGGGGGGAATAATAGGAAAAAAAAGGGGGGGGGGAAATGGTTTAACTCTTTCAACACCCCCCCTCCCCAATAAAAGGGACTATTCAGCACCAGCAAAGTTCCCATTGGGAGATGTAGAGACAAAACCTAGCATGGATTGGCTAGCCTTGCAGTGGTGGAGTCACTGGCCATTCATGTTCCAACGGCTGAAACAAGAAACCAGAACTAAACCAAAGAAGCAAACAAACAATCCTGATGACAAAAAACAAAAACAAAACAAAAACAATGGATTATTTAGGATTTTTAAAAAATGTGTCAGGTGACATGTAGATGTAGAACTTTATTGCTAACAGTGTATAGAATGCCTGCATTGCAGTAGCAACTTTTGTGGATTCTTGAACAAAATGTGATCCTCGGGGATTATAACATCCTGTCCTGGTACATGGAGGAAATGAATGGAGAAAGAAGGCTAACCTCTTGGCTTGGAACAGGTCACATAAGTCGAAGCATTTTGACACAGTTCATGGTATTACATTGTTTCATTCATTGTTCAAAGAACAAACAACAAAGGTCTTGTATAAAGTGGCTTGTGTTGACATTTCTAAGACTTTGGTGTATTCTGCCATCTTCTTTGCGCCATCACTGCAATTAAAGAACTGTAAGTGTACAAATAACCTTAACCTGTCGTACATACTACCGTAGTTTCTTAACATTGCTAAAAATCTGTCTCCATCTTAAGTTCACCAATATGATCTGCAATGTTTCTATACGTTTTATTTATTTGCTATACTTGTATACCGCCGTTTCTCAGCCTAGCCGGCGACTCAACGCGGTTTACAACAACTTATAACAAACAACAGTATACAGTTTAAAAGCATAAAAACACGATCCACAATACATATATCAATAAACAATCCAATTCATCTCTTGACTAAAATCGCGATCCAGTTTCGTCGTCCAAATTGCCAGTCCTTCAATCATTACACTTATTGCACTGAGTTAACCGAACGCCTGCTCGAACATCCAGGTTTTTAGTCTTTTCCGGAAAACCATCAATGAGGGGGCTGATCTTACCTCCATGGGGAGGGCGTTCCATAGCCGCGGGCCACCACAGAAAAGGCCCTGTCTCTCGTCCCCGCCAGCCGCACCTGTGAAGCAGGCGGGATAGAGAGCAGGCCCCCCCCAGAAGATCTTAGGGTCCTGGTGGGCTGATAGGCTGAGATACGTTCGGATAGGTAAGTTGGGCCAGAACCGTTTAGGGCTTTAAAGGCCAGCGCCAGCACTTTGAATTGAGCCCGGTAGCAGATCGGCAGCCAGTGGAGCTGGTGCAGCAGAGGAGTTGTATGCTCCCTGCGCTCCGCTCCTGTTAGTATCATGGCTGCCGAGCGTTGGACTAATTGGAGCTTCCGGGCCGTCTTCAAAGGCAACCCCACGTAGAGAGCGTTGCAGTAGTCTAAACGGGATGTAACCAGAGCGTGGACTACCGTGGCCAAGTCAGACTTCCCAAGGTACGGGCGCAGTTGGCGCACATCTCAGTTTTACAGCTGAGAGTTGTGTGAAGGAAGCCTGACTCGCACAGAGTTCATAGCTGCTGTCAGATTGGCTAAAACAGCTATGTTCATTTTTATTAGAAGGGATGGTGATGCCATTTGTCATGTTCATCAATCATGCTTGTGCCTTCTAACTTTGGTCAGTAACTTTAACATTCAGTAACTTTAACATTAACATTTGGTCAGTAACTTTAACATTAACATTCAGACTACAGCTCAGATCAGATTCACCACTCCATTGACATAGACCTCACCTGGAATACTGTGTCCAGTTCTGGGCACCACAATTCAAGAAGGATATGGACAAGCCAGAACATGTCCAGAGAAGGGTGACTAAAATAATCAAAGGTTTTGAAACTAAGACCTTTGGGAGCCGCATATGTTTAGCTTGGATTAAAGAAAGCTGACCAAGAGACATGATAATCATGCTTAAATATATAAAATGATGTCTCATTGAGGAGGGGGTAAGCTTCCTGATGGGAAGAACTAGGACATGGAGCAATGGATTCAAACTTCAGGAAAAAAGGTTCCACCTAAACATTAGGAGGAGCTTCCTGATGGTAAGAACTGTTCTGCAGTGGAATATTTTGCCTCAAAGGGTGGTGGAGTCTCCTTCTTTAGAGGTTTGTAATTGGGGGGTGGATGGTCATCTTTTTTTTGCGGGGGGGGGGGGGGGGGGGGTTTCATTGTGTGTTCTTGCAAGGCAGAGTGTTGGACTGGATACTCATTTGGCATAAAAAAAATCTGTTGAAACCCAGATTTTTAATACTTAAATGATCAGACACATAGGTAGACACTTCGCAACATCCTGAGCTTTCTAAGGGTGCATCAACACCGTAGAATTAATGTAGTTCAACACTACTTTGGCTGCCATGGCTCAATGTAAGGGAATTATAGTTTGATGAGGCACCAGCACTTTTTGACAGAGATGGCAAAAGATCTTGTAAAACTACAACTCCCATGATTTGATAGCACTGAGCCATGGCAGTTAAAGTCTTATCCAATTACATTAATTCTACAGTGTAGATGCAACCTGAGAGGCAAGAAAGTTCACTTAGGTAGTGCTTTAGGACAATCATTGTGATGACTTTACAGCATAACTTTCAGCATCTCTTTTGCATTATACTGCATTGTTCTTTACATAGCTGATACAGTTTCTATCACAATGTCATCAACCTAGGTTCAGGTAGGTCATAGCTCACCACACATAGACCCCCAAGATGTTTAATAGCCCCCCCTTTCTATTTCAGTGTGAAAATATACACATCTCACAACATATGGAACATTTATGTCTCTCTGATTTGTGTGTCTCCCATAGCTTTCTTTAAGGGTACATTAGTTGTGCCCTCTTCAACCCAAGATTATCTAGAAACTCTGTAGAAAAGTGTCAGGATTTCCAGATTAATCCTAACAGCCTGATTCTGCTATGTGCTTGTCACTAAGAGTCACATACTAGTCAGTCTGTGAAGTAAGCCTCTAGTTCTGGCTTGCACACACAGGCACACCCCCTCCCTCTTCTGTCTAAGGAGAGCAGACTTCCGTGAGACAGTTTCACACAGAGACACCCTGAGTGCCCAAAGGAGCTGGGAGCGCTTGCTCATGGCTGACAGCTACATCGAAGAATCGGAGCCCTTTCCTGAAAAAGGGGAGACTCTGGAGTGGGGCTATGAAGAAGGTAAGGAGACTGGGGGTTTCAGGCTGTGAGCTGAAGGAAAGTGGCATTTTCATCATGTGTAAATGAGGAAGCTTAACAAGTACATATTGATTCGGAAAACGTTTGGATAATGCTCTCCTGGGATCAGGTATCATTTCAACAGGCTTTCGTGCTTCAAAGGAGAATACTTTTCTCAAAAGGAGACACCGTGAGATTAAGTTTACCAGTGAATCTTTAAGTGGATGATGTCTGTTTAGTTTTAAAGGAGGAGGAGGGAGAACCCTTGTAACCAAAATGATGTTTCTACAGTAAGCCCCTCTTTTTTGAAAGGCAAAGAAGTAATATAAATAGTTGCCTCTCCTCAAATAAATTCTACATTCCTTCTCTGTGTTTGAAACTCAAACATCGTAACTCTGACAGCAGCTATGGACTATACACAAAGAAGATGGATTACTTTTGTTATTGTTTTACTATATAGTGAGCATAGACTGTGACAAGTGAAAGGGATTTCTAATTCCTTCTCATTTTTGATTACCCATGCTGTATTTAATAAGGTGGACACATAAGCACTTATGGATCAAAAACAGGATACTTAAGAAGACTGCACTGTACAGAGCTACACTTTTTAGCAGGGTATGATGTGTTTGGTGTAGTACTAAGGAACTAAGAAAACAAAGTTTACAGGTGGTTGTGTGTTGATCCATTGCAAAAGAATACACACACGCACACCTATAAATGAAAAGTTGAATTATGGCCATATTAACCTTCAGAAGATAATCTGCAAGTTCTCAAGTATATTAGTATTCTCCTTTTTTTACTGAATGTTGAATAATATTTTTGTGTGTGAAGGAAAGATAATGCTTGGCTATAGTAAGAAAGAACATTAGGGCCAACTTCCCAAAGCAGCAAGCAAGCTTTGGAGTTTGCCTGAGTTTTTCAATTAGAAAGAGAGAATATTTGCTCACACTTGCCAACTAATCTCCTGTTTTCACGTAGCATAATCTCATCTTAAACTGGCATAATGTTTCCTTCACTCCATCTTGGCAAACATGAACTTGGGGTTTGTCATCATGAAAAGATCAAAGTTTTTCATTTTCCAAAATAGGGGTAAGGAGATGATAATGGTAAATTAGCAGGTTAATTGGAAAAGTATGAATAAAGAACTTTTTTTTTATCAGACTGGAGAATTTTGGGGAACAGAAAAAAATACTCAGGACTTTCTGGTGTTTCATTTGGTCTAGTGATGAGCTAGAGTAGAGACATCACACTGGCAATGAAGATCCGCATAGTAAAGGCAATGGTATTCCCCATCGTAACCTATGGATGTGAGAGCTAGACCATAGGGAAGGTTGAACAAAGGAAGATAGATGCTTTTGAACTGTGGTGTTGGAGGAAAGTTCTGAGAGTGCCTTGGATCTCGAGAAGATTCAACCAGTCCATACTTCAGGAAATAAAGCCCGACTGCTAATGGGAGAGAAAGATATTAGAGGCAAAGATGAAGTATTTTGGCCACATAATGAGAAGACAGGAAAGCTTATAGAAGACAATGATGCTGGGGAAAATGGAATGAAAAAGGAAGAGGGGCCAACCAAGGGCAATATGGTTGGATGGCATCCTTGAAGTGACTGGCTTGACCTTGAAGAAGCTGGGGGTAGTGATGGCCGACAGGGAGCTCTGGAGTGGGCTGGTACATGAGGTCGTTGGAAGTAACTGAATGAAGGAACAAGTGATGGGCTAAGCCATGTTTATCTTTATTAGAATAAGGACATTACATCTTTATGGTTGAGAAGGCATTTTCCTCCAAGTTAGGTTGGTGTTTAGAAATGCTAATTTCTTTTGGAGAACTGAAGTACTTTCATTAAAAAAATTCCTTTTCTCTAGTGAAATTCCTGGTATGGACCAAATTGGATGTGATATTAAAAGTGTGCCTGCATTTAATATGGGTATTTTACAAAATACAAGTAGCACCTGCTAGTGTATGTGCTCATTATTAATTGGGGAGCTATAGCAACATTAAAAATGCCAAAGAGAAACAGTAGTTCAATCACTTCCTATAATCTGGAGAAAATGTTCTTTCAAGTTACTATATTCATGGGAAGGAAATCCATCACTTGGGACATAAAAAATATATTTAATGTCACAGCTCATTAGATCCTTAATTTGGCTCTGTTCTGTGTTTGGGACATACTAGACGTACAAGGAAAATGTGGACTAATTTCTTGAACTTATTCCAGTTCAGGGATATTTTAGACCTCTACTACTGACAAAAATATTTCCACTAATGCAGTGGTTCTTAACCTGTGGGTAACGGACCACCAGTGGGCTACAAGGATGGAAATCCTTCCTCTTAATTTATTGATTGATTGTATTTTATTCATTTTATTTCTGCTTCTTTCACACCGCCTGCCACTCCTTCTCTGTTTTTGACCATGGCATATGTTCTGTATCAGAAACTAGAGCTAATGTGATCTATCCAATGCAATTTTCTGAATCAGCACACCAAACTGAATCTAAAGTTGACCAAAAACTGATTTGTAACCATTTTGGTACCAATGTTGGAGAGTGGTCTCCGTTCAAGTAGTCCCTGGTCAAAAAAAAGTTGGGAACCACTGCACTAATGGAATGCAAGGAGGGATGGATTCTCTTTTCTCTGCAAGGATCCTTTGAAACCACACAATTATAGTACTATGTTGCACTTCAAATGTCATGGCAACATCCTGTGGAATCCTGGGTTTTATAGTTTCATGAAAAACCTGAATACTCTGACCGAGAGTTCCGTGTTATCTTGCCATGGCAGTTAAACATAGCATTATAATTGTGTAATGTGAAAAGGCCCCAGATTGCCTGAATTGTCCAGAAACTCAAAGAGCCACAATTTCAGATCATCTGAAAATGCTGAAATATTTCATTTGGGTTTAATTTTATTTTCAGGAGTAGAGTGGGGGTTAGTTTTTCCAGATGCTAATGGAGAATACCAATCTCCCATTAATTTGAACTCAAGAGAAGCCAAATATGATCCTTTGCTCCTGGAAGTAAGTTTATCGCCAAACTACGTTGTATGCCGTGATTGTGAGGTCATCAATGATGGGCATTCGGTTCAGATCCTCTTAAAGTCTAAATCAGGTATGTGTTCCTACTATTTACTGTTTGTTTTAGGTTATCTCCAGATTTGGCATTCTAAATGAAACTGATGATGAATTGTGAAAATTGTCACATATGCAGAGATACATATTAGAATCATGGAATCAGAGCTGGAAAAGACAACATGGGCCATCTAGTCAAACTCCTTGTCATGCAGAAATTTGCTCAATAAACATCATAAGTATCTAATAAAGTCAGAGTTATTACAAATGTCAAGTGTGAAGTTGAGAGAGAGAGGGGTTTCCTTTGGCCACATAATGGCTAAAGTATGATTTGAACAAAGAATTGCCTGGCTCAAAACTCATTGCCTCTTGTAGAGCAAGACACACACCTGTATTTTCTTGGACAACTCTCTAAGGACCTCTTCACATGGGGCATTTTTTTCCCCGTTTTGCACTTTTATGCACAACAAGGACGGGGCCTGCCATGCATCGTGCATGGCAGGCCCTGCCCACATTCCTCCCAAAGTGGAGGGGAAGTGTTGAAAGGTGCTTTTTCCTCCACTACGAGGAGGAAAGTGTAGTTTGAGTTACTCCAATGGAGCTACCCACACTTTCCTCCCCTTTTGGCGGTGTGATGGCAGAAAGGGTTGCAGGGCAATGCACATTGCTGCCCTTTCTCCCATGTGATGAGGGGAGGGAAAGGGTGCCAAAGCACCCTCTCCCATCTCCACCGTGTGATGAGGGGAGGAAGGAGGGCGCGCGAGGTGCTACGAACCAGCCCGCATACCTTCTCTTTCATCAGTGATTACCAATGCAATAGCACAGCTCGCAAGGGCCATGTGAAGAGGTCCTTAGAAACTTCGGGGTACAGAACTGTAGACAGATGCAAGTTATCAGACCAAAACAAACATCCTCAAAGCTTTCAAGATAAGTGTGCTTGTCTCTGATCTTTCAAGCATTACAGAAATGCTACTGTGTGTCTGATTCCTTTCTTGTGTTTTCAACATGTTAATTAGGGAAATGCTAGATTAAACTTGGTCCCAAGCCAACGGAATTGTTGTAATTCGTAGTGCTGAAAGAAATTGGCTACAGAAGAGGGGCAACACTTACAGTGTGCCTTGCATGGTCTCCTGTTTTCATGCATGCAACCAACTTCCAAAAATGTTCTGGCTTTATGTTTTTAGATTTTTTGAAGTAGAGGATTCCACAGTTTATTGCTGCATTGTGACATGTGACACTAGCATTCAGAATTAGCAATACACAGAATGTTTTGTCCTTAATGTATTATTGGCAATTCTTTAAATGCTGTGAAGCAGCTGGGGGACAACAAGCAAGCATCACCAATGTATGTGGCCAGCTGGTCCGCAGGAAACATTTGTCAGTGGATCCTGCACTGGAAACTTGCTTCCTGCATTTCTTAAGGCTGCTTCATACATGATCCAGAAGTGACTCTTTTGGAAGGAGACAGCCATTTCAAAATCAGTATTAAAAAAGGAAGGAAAAAGTGTCAGTATTGCAGCATCTTTCTCACTAACCGATTGATTCTGTCACAAGCTACAGTCCACTTTTTCAGATGTTGTAGCACACAAATGCTTATTGTGAAATAAATAGTTTAATCTCAAAGCTGCCATGAGGATATTTTTTTCTTTCTTCTTTTTATATTGAAACAGACTATTACAGCTACTTTGTTGACCATTTCAAAATCAGGGCTTAGCCCCCTGACCCCCTGCCCCAGCTGTGGAATGTGCTAATTATGTCTGTGTGAAGAAAGAAAGCAGCTTGGTCTAGAGCCAAGGCAGCCCAAGGAAAGGTCGGGGCTGGGAGATTTCTCAGGAGCCCTAGACATCTGAGAGAGGAGCAGGTGTTGGCTAGAATGGGTTGTATTCTCTTTCTCTTGATGTCTATCTGTTGATCTTAATACACACATTTTAATTGTAAAGGCTACAACCAGGGTTGAAGAAAACAAACACAAAAGCCAAAACAAAAAAAATATATAATATAACATAGAACATTAAACATGCATACATTCTATACCTAAGACTAAACTAAACAAAGGGGATATATATCTTTTCCAACTGGCCAGACTACAATTATAGGTAACATAATAATTATTTCTTACCAACAACTATCTTTTCTAGGAATTATCCTATTACGCCAATATTAAAATCATTCCACTGGTTGTCAATTAATTTCAGGGACAAAAGGATTGGGATTGACCTTTATTGTACCTGGTTTGGGCCCAGTTTCCTTAAAGGTTCACCTATACATTCAGGTCTCTCTCCAGGAGAACATATGCTTCAAGCAGCCAGGACTAGGTTGGCAGGTATTAACCAGAGGATTTTTTCATCAGCTGCCTCCAAATTGTGGAATGACCTGCCAGAAAAGATTTGACAGCTATATACATTGTTTGTATTTAAAATTAAATTTAAAAAACCAACCCTGGTAGTTTTTAAATTATGAATCTCTTAATATACTGTACATACTCAAGTATAAGCTTAGTTTTTTAGCCGTTTTTTTAAGCAACTCCTCTTTTCAGCCCTACACCTTCCTACCAGAAGCCTCACCTCTCCACACACAGCAACCCAGCTCACCTTCCTCACCTCCTCTCTCGATGCAGAGCACACCTTCCTCTCCTTCTTTCTCAGTGCTTTCCCACTTTTCCTTATTCATATATACACAACATTTTCTCCAAAAATGTATAATTAAAGTAAACTATTGTGATGATTGGATGGATACATAAGCACATTTATCTCAAATTATAGTTTTATGTAAATATTTAAAAACATTTAATCCACTGATGCCTCAATTAATATAATTTTATTGGTATATATTTTTATTTTGAAATTTACCAGTAGCTGTTGCATTTCCCACCCTTGGCTTATAGTCGAGTCAATACGTCTTCCCAGTTTTTGGCATATATTCGAGTATATATGGTATATGCTTTTTAAAAAGATGCTACACTATATACCATAAAATGATTCTGTATTTTTAATTGGTATATGTGTATTTTAATTGTAGTCCCATCTACACTGCCATATAATGATATTTCAGAATGCAATTTAATAATAATAATAATAATAACAATAATAATAACAACAACAATACTAATATAAGACGAAGTCATTAATATGTGTGGCTGTTGCTACAGGAGGATACATTATTAATACAGGCTTAAGTATCAATTTTTAAAACTGTACATCAACTTTTCACAGCTAAGAATGCTACACAGTATAGATGAAGGTAGAAATATGCAGATTCTGAAGATTCTTCCCTATCTGAAAGAGTAGCATGATTATAATAATACAGTGAGGGGTTTTATAGAATCTCAAGGACTATCAGAATATCCATGAGACATTAGGATCTGATTAATTCAGCTATGACTCATGGAAGGTTTTGTTGTGATAAATTGTGTGTGTACATGTGCCTTCAAGATACTTATGTACATATGATGAGCCAATGACTTGCATAAGATTTTCTTAGGTAAGGAGTAGTCAGAGTTTGGTTGCTGTTGCCTTCTTTTGAAATGTAGCCTACAGTTCCTGGTATTTCCTGGTAGTTCCCCTTTCTAAGTACTAGCCAGACCTTGCCAATGTTAGTCTCCAAGATCAGTAGGATCTGGTGCCTTTATGGTGTTTAGACACTTTTGTGTTAGCTCTGTAAATCTTTAAAACCTTCTTTCTTTGCCAGTTTGGTATTCTGCCCTGAACTATCAAAGAGGAGAAAAAGCTATGAACTGTCTGCTTTAAGCACAGTGATTTTACAAAGGAATAGAGGAAGACTGGCATTTTGCCAAAGACCATAAAATATCTCCTCAGTAGAAAGCAGCAATGACTTAAAACTTCAACACATTCTCTCTCAAGTTTTCAAACAAGTTTCCCCATTTAAAAACTGTATTATTAATGAATCTCTAGGAGCTCAACATAAACATATTATTGAGATATTCCCCTCCTCCATAAAACATATTTTCATGATTTGCGGTTTGGTTGCCTCCTTTCTTTCCATTAGATTTTCCCCTTCCTTTATTTCTGATCAGTATAGCCATTGCTAATGTCCAGTCTCGATAAAATAGTGAAGAGTAGAGACATCAGACAGGCAACAAAGATCCGCCTTGTCAAAGCCATGGTATTCCCTGTAGTAACCTACGGATGTGAGAGCTGGACCTTAGGGAAGGCTGAGCGAAGGAAGATCGATGCTTTTGAGCTGTGGTGTTGGAGGAAAGTGCTGAGAGTGCCTTGGACTGCGAGAAGATCCAACCTGTCCATCCTCCAGGAAATAAAGCCCGACTGCTCACTGGAGGGAAAGATACTAGAGACAAAGTTGAAGTACTTTGGCCACATCATGAGGAGACAGGAAAGCCTAGAGAAGACAATTATGCTGGGGAAAGTGGAAGGCAAAAGGAAGAGGGGCCGACCAAGGGCAAGATGGATGGATGGCATCCTTGAAGTGACTGGACTGACCTTGAGGGAGCTGGGGGTGGTAACGGCCGACAGGGAGCTCTGGCGTAGGCTGGTCCATGAGGTCACGAAGAGTCGGAGACGACTGAACGAATGAACAACAACAACATAGCCATTGCTAAAGCCAAATTAGATATTGTTCCTGAAAATTTTGTTGATGACTGCATTACAAGATTTTAAAGTTAGGGAAACTTCAATTTTGGAGAAGTGATTGTATTTCCATGGTGGTGACATGTTGGCATGGATAAGGTAGCTTGCCATCCTTTCTGGATCAAATAATTGAGTAGTTAAAAGGATCACTGAGCAGATGATAAGAAAAGTCTGTAGCAGAGGTCCTGGAATTATTCTCAGTCAGAGTAAACATTACTGAGCTAAAAGGAACTTTTGCTAACCCAAAGCTCCCACTTTGGTTGTACATGGGGAAGGTGAAGTACAAGTCTTCCATAATCTTTTCTTCATAGTAAAAGCAACAATTTCCATTATGACAAACAAAACAACCCCCCCCCCAAAAAAAAACAACAACACCTGGATATTTTCTAGATCACAAGTGAAGACTTTTGGTCATTGGAGTACATATGCCCCTTGACACAGTTTGATACATTCTACAAAACAGAGCTTAGCCCATTATGTTTAAGAGGGATTCATAAAATGGCATAATGTAGCCAAGCCATCCATAACTGAATAGTGGAGGAACGATGCTCCGAGACTGTTCAGTGAAAGCTGACTTCAATGTGTCATCTTTCTTAAAAGTAACTTCATAAGCTGTGCTGCAGAAGTAGAATGATACAGTGAAAGGGAGAGATGTTGTGGCATTAGTGTTGGGGAAAAATATAATTCGGCAACATTGAAGCCCAACCTCATCAAACAAACTGATTTAAATTCTATAGATCAACTGCTATTTAAAATAGCAGTTGTTTATTTTATTGCATTGTGTTTTTAATCTATGTTTGTTTGAGCTTGTCTCCATGTAAGCCCTTCGGGGAGATGGAGGCGGGGTACAAAAATAAAAGTATTATTAATTAATTAATTAATTAATTAATTACAGATTTTACTCATATTTTGCATGCATTTTAATTGTCTGCAGACCATTGTATTATTTATAAATATGTATGTTACCTTAAGTCCCAGTGCTATTGTAGTAGCAATAGTAATAGTAGTAAACGTCACAGTATCAAGGTTCCAATGACGCTTCTTCATCTAGGAGCAGGCTAGGATAGTTCTTGGCCTGAGACCAAGGAAAGCAAGCCAATGTTATTGAATGGAACAGGGATTGGCATCTTCCCAAGACTCAGAGGCCACATTTGTATATACAGAAATCCTTTAGGTAGTAAAAAGACAGGCCTCATCAATAGTTATGTATAAGCTATACCTGGGAGTGATAAAGGAAGTGAAACATTTATCTTTTATTAAGAAAATTTGTCATAAAACAGAACGGAATTGCATATCATTTGTCGAGCTTATTATATGAAGTGTGAAGCCATGGAGCAAATCAACAAAGTTTGTGAATTGTGACTGCATCCCTCCAGCGCCTCACCTTCACAATAAAAGGAACACTTCCCCTACTGTTAGTTGAGAAAGCCCTCTGCAAATTGTCAGCTATGAATGTCATTGGTTATAATTTGTGTTGTTTTCTCTTGCAGTCTTGGTTGGAGGGCCGTTGCCTCGGGGGCATGAATTTGAACTGCATGATGTTCGATTTCACTGGGGTAGAGAAAATCAACGTGGCTCAGAACATACTGTTAATTTTAAAGCTTTTCCCATGGAGGTAAGAATGGCTTCACCTTGCATAGCCTTAGGTTTTCTCCTCAAAATATTAAACCACAGCATGAAAACCTGTTGGTTTCATTTTAACCCAGTGGCTTGTTGATTTATAGTAATACTTAAAGGCTGTCATTTGCACAGGGAATTCATATGTAGAGTATTCTGCCTCTGGTACAAATTCTACTGCATGATGAATTGGTCTTAAAGTTAACCCACACTACTATTAACTCCAGCATTAATAATATTTTAACAAGATCTCCTATTTCCAGTGTCACCTTGACTAATACCTGGAACAAACAGGCCCTACATTCTTTGCTTGCTTTGGTAAGTAAGGGAAAATCAAGTCAAAATCATCAATGGCTTTTAAGTATTTAAAAATGAACCAATGCATGGCACAACTATCTAGTGCAGTGGTTCTCAACCCTCCTAATGCCACGACCATTTAATACAGTTCGTCATGTTGTGGTGACCCACAACCATAAAATTATTTTTGTTGCTACTTCATAACTGTAATTTTGGTACTGTTGTGAATAGTAATGTAAATATCTGATAGGCAGGATGTATTTTCATTCATTGGATCAAATTTGGCACAAATACCCAGTATTCCCAAATCTGAATATTGGTGGGGTTGGGACAGATTGATTGTGTCATTTGGGAGTAGTAGTTGCTGGGATTTATAGTTCACCTACGATCAAAGAGCATTCTAAACTCCACCAAGGATGGAATTGAACCAAACTTGGCATACAGAACTCCCATGACCAACAGGAAATACTTGGAAGGGTTTGGTGGGCATTGACCTTGAGCTTTGGAGTGGTAATTCACCTACATTCAGAGAGCACTTTGGTCTCAAACAATGATAGATCTAGACGAAACCTGTTACAAATATTCACTATGCCCAAATGAGAACACTGGTGGAGTTTGGAGAAAATCGACTCTGACATTTGGGAGTTGTAGTTGCTGGGATTTATCATTCACCTACAATCAAAGAGCATTCTGAACCCCACCAATGATAGAATTGGGCCAAACTTCTCACACAGAACCCCCATGACCAACACAAAATACTGTGTTTTCTGATGATCTTTGGTGACCCTCTGACACCCCCTCTCGATCCCCCAGGGGTCCCCACCCCCAGGTTGAGAAACACTGGTATATATGATTTCCAGTTTTTAGTGAAATGCAGACTTTAAAACAATCCTAGATATTACCAGTTTGCAGCACTACAGCTGCATGTATCCTATCCATCTATTCTACTGGCTCATAATATTCAGGTATTTCTGCATGGTAGGCAATTATTTTTTATATTATAAAAGATCTTTCAGTGCATATTTGTTTGACTTTAAATATTTTCATGCTATTTATCTTAATCCCTTTAGAAGCCTGAAAACAAATTTCCTTTCTATTTTAATTCTTTGTAGGGTTTGTTATTAAACACTGAGCTGCTGTGATAAAGACTTGTTTTCAGCACTGTGCCAAAAGACTTTTGGGTCCACTTCAGTCACACAAAATTTGCTTGGCTGCCTTACTAAAAAGAAACCATGAAAAAGTTGCAAATCTGCACAAAACCTATAGGGTTTTTTTTTTTAAAAAAAAGAAAATTAGAACAGACAGTGTTTTCACATTCCCTGTTCACATAGTCCTCTGTGCAATGACAGAAGAAACTTGGAAGTTATTCTGAAAGTGGACATAAATCAGTATATGAAATCTTACACAAGTACTGAAATGAAAGAAGTTAATCAGGGTTTTACTTTTTCTGTGTGATTGTAGAGTATAACCCCATATCTGGAGGGGATATGTTCCCAGACTTTGTGTGGATATGCATAATCACGAATGATACAGAATTCTATTGAAACAAAGGACTCTTGGCCCAAGAATACTACAGAGACGCATAGGAAGGGTTAGAAAATGTCAGATGTGGGTAAATGAAACTGTAGAGATCCGTCCCACAAATAAGGGATCATATTGTGTTGCAACAATTCTGACAGTAGAAATGAGGTATTTTATTAGGATAGCTCTCTCTGACTTGATATCTTGATGATATATGTAACTACACTTCCCATCACCCGCAGTGCTATGGCACAAGGCTGTGGAATAATGGGAGCTATATTGGTGAGGTACTACCACTCTTTGGCAGAGCAGACTAAAGACCTTGTAAAACTCCAGCTCCCATGATTGCAGATCATGTGTAGTCGAACTGTGTTAAATCTACAATGTGGATGCACTGAAGTTCATAAATGTTCTTCTTTGCTCTCTTTAGCCCTAGTGGACCATGTACCCCAATGATTTTAGTCTGTATTATGTTTCATTTTTATGGGAAGAAACAACCTCTTTTTTTTAAAGTGAGGCAGTGTTGACCATTTTTCCTGGACATCTGAAAAATGTATCCTCAAGGCTAGGGCATTCTGGTTCATGGTCAAGCAGATTAGTGAAGTAGAGGTTTTCCAGTGTGACTTCTGCAACTGATGCTCTTGAAATAAATTACTATGTTAACTTGATAACATCTCTGCATGAGATAATATCTGAGTTCTTTGCTGTTTTTTTGTTGACTAACATTCAGCAAAGACTAGGGAGGAAGAAATCTGTCAGTCTCATTAGAAGTATAGGAACCTTGGAAGCTACGTGATATTGAGTCAGACCTTTGGCTGATCTAGCGAAGTGTTGTCTGCTCTGATACATAGCAATGACCTTACAAAGTTTTGACAAAAGCATTTCCTAGCTCTCCACAAAGATGATTTGGAACATTCTACATAAAAAACATTGCTTGTACCACTGAGTATTCTTTGACACTGAGAGAAGTGTAGTTGTCCATATTTTTCTACATATTGGTGCAGACCACATGCATAATTACGTAAAAGGTTCAAAGTTCAATCCCTGGCATCACGTTGACATCAGTCCTGGCTATGTGTGTATATTGGGGGTTGGTCTTAGAGGGTGCATAATATCAAGTTGAATAGATGGTACATCACACCTCAAAAACTGGCAAGATGCTACCCCAACATAAGGAATCTATGTTGGAAATGTGAAGAACAACAAGGCTCATTTTTCCACATGTGGTGGTCATGCGGAACTGCGAAATGTTATTGGAGAGAAATACATGCAACAATTGAAAAGATCTTAGAAACGATGATTGAACTAAAGCTGGAACTTTTTAAATTGGGAATTACAGAGATAGATCTGGAGGAAAACAAAGAGAAGCTTTTCAATTACTTAATAATGGCAGCTTGAATATGTTATGCAAGACACCGGAGAACCAAGGAGATCCCCACACAAGAAGAATGGTTGCTGAAGATGGTGGACATTATGAATATGGACAGATTGACCCACTTAATTAAAATGAACCAAAACATGAAGAAAACAAGAACTGATTGGACCCCGTTTAAAAATTATTTAATCCAAAGGAAATATAATCAAAACACAATAATGGACTATATCACAACAAAATTACAACTGAAACAGACACAACGGGACAAGATACAAACGGGCCTGCCTTTTATTATTGGAACCTACACAGATAAAGAACTCGGAGCCAAAGAGGAAGACAACTAGAAGCCAAGACTGCGTCCCCCCCCCACGCCTTCCCTTCCTAGCCTTTCTTATATATCTACCCTCTATCTACTCAACCCCCCACCCCTCTCCCAACTTACCCCCTACCCCACCTTACCTCACTCATCTTTTCCCAACCCAGATTCCTACCTCTTTTTAACCCTCATTGTAAAAAAGAACCTTCAATAAAAATTATTATTAAAAAATCAAGCTGAATCAGCCTGACTCATATCTGCAGTTGGTTCTATGAGAAAAATATCTATTTAATGGAAACCTGCTTTCTGGAAAATTAGCAAGAATCGCATTTCCAGTTTGGACCTAAACTAGTACAAAGGGGTGAAACTCATCTTTTCAGGCCACCATCTCCTGCTCCTTTCACACCATAGGCAGCTGCTATTTTGCACACACAAATACACATTCCTGCAAGGATTAGTGGCATGCTTTTCATCTCATCCAGCTTGACTCTTATGTTGGGCACTGTTGTTGCATGAGAACTGAAGTGCAAATAGTTCACAGCATGACTTAGATATTGTCAAACATATTCAGTATTTTCCCCATAGCTGATTAGCAGATTGGAAGGTTTGTTTTATAAAATTGAAGTCTTACCCTTAACCTTCCAACAGAGAATAACGAGAAAAAAACCCCAGAGAAAGTGCTTGATACTATCTTTAAATACAAAGGAGAGGCATGAAAGCTCAGTGATTACATTATTATCCAATGTTAAGGTCTGCTGAATATCAGGTTTACTTTGTCTTCTTTTATTTAATTCAAATGGTGAATTCACAGGGTCTGAAATGGAGTTTGGTTTCAGGTAATTTAGCAACAGGAATATTGAATGGTAGAGCTGTTAATTAGTGAAAAACAATACAGATGACTTGAAAATAAAGCACCCAAGTCTTTTTCACTGAGCTGCTATAAGCAGCTGCTTTGGGTCAAGTTAACAACCTTGCCTTTCCCTTGGAAACCTCAATGGTTTTCTCACAAAATTCTAGGAACAAACTATCATTCCACTGCTAAGTTTGGTGGCAGAGTATTTTTCAAGCAGGGGGTGCAAATCTTGTGTATTCACTGTAGGTGAGATTCTTGAATGCCAATAATTATTGAGAATTATTATAATTTGACAATAATAATAATAATAATAATAATAATAATAATAATAATAATAATAATAATAATTTATTTGTAGCCCACTCTGTCTCCCCAGGGGGACTCAAGGTGGCAAACATTAAATGCTTGTAAAAAACAGAAAGAAAAATATAAACAACAAACAATGTGATACATTACACAATGAATTAAAACAAGTAATTTAGATAATTATCATTAAATAATTATCATTTATGCCATTAAATGCCAGCTAAGGTAGAGTACCAAATCTGTTTCCTTTCTGTTCCATTTATCAGTGTTGCAAGCTCTAATCCTCCTTCTCGTTATATGTTTGAGAACATAAGAATGTTTTTAGGTGCT